TGAAAGGCCTCGAAACCCACACTAGGGCTGGTAATTAGAGAGAAACCACATACCAAACACACACCAGTGGGAGCCCATAGAGCCCCGGCAAAAACAAAGTGGGTGACAAATGATATTATGAATAATAATGGCAATCAAACGGGAGCTCAATTGCTACCCACTAACTTAGCTTTTTAATGAAGCAACACAGGAGGGATGATGAAAAGACACATTTATTGCTCCCAGAAAGCCCTTTTGTGACTTCATGCACATTTTCTCCCTCTTTCTTTCTTTCTGCCACAGTGTAAACAGTTTTTGAATATTCACGTGGTATGAAACACGGAACATGGTCCTCTCTTGGGGTGGGTGTGTGGGGGGTCTCACTTCTATTTAAATCTCACCCATATCTATTTGTAGCCATCCTAACTGGACCCTATGGCATTATAAAAAGAGCCATTTCCTCACAATTTAGGACAATCTCATTGAGCAGATCAGGGTTTCTCAATCTCGGCACTATTGAATTTTGATAATTTCTGTAGTGGGGATTGTCCCAGGCCTTGTAGGGTGTTTGGCAGCATTCCTAGCCTTTACCCACTAGATGCCAGTAGCATCCTCTGTCCAATGTGACAGCCAAAAATAATTCCAAACATTACTGAAAGATGGAGAGCCACTGGCCTAGACACACCAGGGAGCTGTCCTAGGCTCACGCTCAGAGAGGCTTCACACCCTCCAGCCACCCAAATCCACCTCTGTTCACGTCTGTTTGCAAAGGGACTTGCCCAAAGGCAAGTGAGCATTTGTTTAGTTGACTTCAGAGTAGCCTGGTCCTTCTGGGCTTTTCTGCGTGGGGAGCAGACCATAATGCCATAGCCCAGAAGGCTTCGGCCTTGGTGTCCAGCCACCTGGGACCTTGTTTTGGCCCCAGGAGGAGACTGGATGTATAGTTGAAAAAGAAAGACACCTATTTTAGTTTTTCGAACACACCTGCTTTGCATTGATATTTTCCCATAGGAGAGCATTCTAGTTACCCGTCACAACACAGAGATGATTTCAAAACAGAGTTCACCGTGATTGGCTTAATTTTTAGCAGTGCTAGTCAACATTCAAGGCTCGGAAGCCCCTGGGAGCTGTGTATTTCCCTGAGTACTTCGGTCTTGTATCAGTTTGCCATGCTTCTAGTTTCTTGTCAAGTTGGGTTGACCTTTTAATTTTGAGACGGAATGCTAGGCGCTGTTGAAAGACCACAAAGGCGCGCGCGCGCACACACACACACACACACGCACACACACACACACACACAATCTATCGTTTAAAGCAGGAGACAGTAAACTTTTTTTGTTAAGGGTCAGATAGTAAATATTTTTGGTTCTGTGGGCCGCCAGGTTTCTGTCACAACTATTCAACTCTGCCGTCGTAGCATGAAAGTAGACATACACAGTACATAAATGAATGAGCATGGCTGTGTTCCAATAAAACTTTATTTACAAGAATAGATGATAGGCTCCATCTGGCTGGATATTGAGCTGTGTTTTCTTGAGACAACCCAGTATGCAAAAATCCAACCCTATAAATTAGGAAGTGTTTATAAATAATTGTCTGATTTGAGAAAAGATATGCTGAAGAATTCCATTAAGGTAGTCCTCTGGAAATATAGTTTGATTAAAAAAAAAAAAAAAACAGAAATTTACGCATAATTTTTAGAATCAAAATTAGGTTTCTAGGTCTTTGCCAGCATTTGAAGTTTTTGGTATTTGTTTTTGTTTTAATAAGTGTCTTTTAAGTTGTATGATGACTCCTTTCAATAATATCAACCTTTTTCTTGTTATCGTAACATTTTAAAGAATTATAGTGGATATTAAGTGAGCCAGGTTCTAAAGTGATTGGACAGTATACGATCACTGATTGTTAAGCATGAGAGTTTTGACTGTGATAATTTCTGTCAAGTCCTTTACTGAAAAGAAAATAGAAAGCTTCGATTGATAAATGTAGCTATGAATGTTCTTTCTTCCTTGGGAGATGTGAACTAAGATACGTAAACAACTGTGAGACAGTATTTGAAGCCTATATAAAAAACAAAAAACCCTTTCCTAAAGTGCGTATCCCACAGTATTTCACTGGTATAATCTAATTTTGAGATGTTTTCTTTGTACCAGGTAGAAATACTTTAATGTTAATTGACATGAGGTTATTCTTAAATCGAAACAAATATTAACCGGAAGGCACCTAGGATATAAAGATGGAGGAAGCCGAATAATAATTATGTTCACAAATTCACTCTAATCTCAAGCAACCTACGATTTTCTCTTTCAAATGGCATGAAAGAGCAGCACAAAATTCACAGCTTTGATCTTTTTCTGCTCAACAGAAGAAGTACCGTCAGCATCCAGATGCTTTGAAGTTTACCAGTATTAAAGACACTCCGGAGATGGTCCAGGCCAGAATTAGTTATACCCAAGCAGTGGATGTAAGCGATAATGTATATACATTACAACTCCAAGAGTGGGCTCTTCTTTCGACATTGCGATTGAAGCCGAGGGGTTCTTGGCTTGCTCCTTCTGTTGTTCTAAGGATGAAGGAACTGCTTGTCCTTTGTGGAGGTGCACCTTAGTGGGGTGCTTCCTCATTAGGATGCAAATGGCGTGTTACCACTCTTAGGATGCCAAATGGGGCTCTGCCACCCCATGGCCCTGATGCTCTCATTCCTTCCTGTTTGCATGTCTGGAAGATTTGTCTCTCTCTGACGGGGCCTTTTCTTCTCTCCTTTTGTTTTAAAGTATCGTTTTTCAGACCTGGAATTTTTGGGTGAAATTCTTGGTAATTGAAACACCGAAGCAATGCTCAGAGCTCCTTGGGAGTTTAGGGCAGGAATTCTTCTTCTCTGAATTTCCCCAAGACTTTGAAAATGATTTAGATCTGATGTATGTACATTAGACTAAATTTTCAAGCCATCGCCCATATTCTGTTTTTAATGTGAAACCAAGATCTGGCCTTTTGTCCTCTCAGCCCAGGGTTCTTTGGAGACTAATTTGAATGATGGAGTCCTATAAAAATTCACTTTTGGATGTGAATTAGCTCTGTTTGGCTGATTTTACTGAGAGAGGTCCACAGCCCTCTGTGCAGGGCAGAAATGCCCTTTAAATCTCCAAACCATTCAACTTGCCACGATGAAAATTTACAAATCTTGGAGGGAGGGATTTCAAAATTCTTTCCTTTGTTTCCCATTTGAGCAATTATGCTGGTTGTGCCTTATTCGACAGGCATTCTGAAATGGCCTGAGTGCCTGTCAGATGAGATATATTTGGGGATGATTTACAAACTTGAGGGTTTAGGAATTTATCATTTCTTGATAGTCAGCCCATCGGAATCAAATTGAATTCAGAGAAACAAGAACTTTTGTATGAAGAAAAACAATACCTGCTTCTTCCTTACCCTAACCAACTCTAGGGGGCACTGCTGTGATACGTAGAAACTCGGACACATCTAATAAGATTTGGGATGGAAAAAAGCCCAGTTTAGAAACTTTCTTTGGTGGCTGCTGCCAACTCCATGTGTCATTGCTAAGTACTAGAATATCGTAAGCCCAAATCAGAGTTCTGGGAGAATAGCACCCCAGACCTACCCAGGAGACATTTATTAGCATAAAAATCCTTGAGATGGGAGAGGACATAAGGATTGAAATAAGTCCAGGGAAAACCTGACCTATGGAAGAGCCACTCTCTCTCATACCTCCTGAATTTTGATGCCCTCTCATAGCTTATAGTTAATAACAAAATTACCAGATGTTAACGAGATCTCATTTCTCGTTTGACAACCATCAGCAATGTGCTACAAGTAGAGCGTTAACTGAAAGTTTCAGCCTGTCGTGTTCTGAGGTGGGAAGTAGCACTTGGGAGAGAATGAAACGCATGTCACCCCGCTAGCTGTGAGATCTAGGTGGAGGCAGGGTGCCCATGATCCTGTCTCTATGGGGAGGTGGCAGCTGCAATACCCTTGTCTCCTGGAGTTTAATTTGGCTGATGGCTGCATGAAGAAGGCTTCTGGATTTAATGTAAAACCTCTCTCTACCCACAGAGATTATACAAGGAACAAGGAGAAAATATAAAGCACCATTACACACAAACAGCTGACCTCCCGGAAGTCCTGCTGGCCAAGCTGAATGCCATGAATATCAGTGAGGTGAGTTTGATGGGAAGGCAATGGTTTTAATTATGGGAGATCAGGGGACCTGTGCAGTTGCACAGCATCTTGTGCTCAGAAGGGCCTTGTGCTTGGTTTGATGTTCTGCTGTCACCATTTTGAATATGCGATATTTTTGAACAAGGGGCCCCATGTTCTCATTTGTATTGGGCCCTGCAAATTATATAGGTGGTAGTTGGTCCTGGAGAAAAGTCAAGCTCATTTACAAGAATGAGACTAGGAAAACTGCCTTAATACGAAGGGCATTTATATTGAGGGGCTGGAATTTGGGAGCGTCAGAATATAGGTGAGTATATCCGGGGGTGTGCCAAGGAGAGACTTGGAGGATTTAACCCCTCCACTTCATCGTCCCTATCAGCACCCCCACTTCCTGTTCTTTGACAGAGATAGCTGAGTTCTCTTCATCCTACATAAAGAGCCACACACATACAGCTCATGCCTTTTTCTTCCAATCAACTTGCTACTCAGAGAAATCTGGGTCTATCTGTCTTTAAAACTCTTACTTTTTAACCCTCCTTCCCCCACCCATGGCTGTCCCCTCCAACGGTGGGCACAAGGCAGGATCCACCTCTTTGCTGATTTTTACTAAGCCCCAGGGATCTCTGACTCCCAACTGGGGAAAAAAAAACCCACAACAAATTCAATTCCCACGTTGGTAACGGGAGTTTGGTAAACCACCAGGTCACGTGACAGTCTTCATTTGTGCATATCTTCCCAACAGACACGTTATAAGGAATCCTGGAGCAAACTTCGAGACGGTGGTTATAAACTGAGATTGGATGCCATTCCATTCCGGGCAGCAAAGGCTTCTGGTGAAATCATAAGTGATGTGAGCATCCACCTCCATTACTGTGATAATATTTAATCCTAACCAATTTTTATTCCCTTTGCCCCTAACTCCTGCTTTCTTTTGCCTGTGGATAATATCCTCTCCTCTCCCAACTGACTGTGTCAGGGCTATCAGATAACGACCAGTGAGAAAGAACATACCCTACAACAAAAAATTCCCTTGCTGGAGTATAAAGCCAGATGCTGGATGGTAAATATGGACCCTGGGCAGATGAAATGCACCCTCCGCCAAGCGTTTTCCTAAAGCAAGTCCACGTGAAGAGACTGTTAACAATGCACCCACCTTCTTCCAGCGTGGGCGGCCCAAGTGCTAACTCGTCTGCCATTTCATATCCCAGCCCTTTAGTCATTGGGAGTCTTGCATATGAAAGAATAGGCCTTCTGACGACTCCCACGCGTTTCTTTTAACTCACCCAGTTACTGTCAAAAGAACAAAACATTTTCGTCCAATACCCACCTCTTCCATTCCGTGTCCCTTGTCCCTGAGCTGTTACTCTCTCAAAAAAAAATTTAGTACAAACAAAGAGGCATTTGAGAAAATGAAAGGGCAGATGCTTGGCTCCCGGAGCTTGGAAGATGATATCAGCCTTGCACATTCAGTGTACGCGAGCTCGCTGCAGAGTGAAGTAAGTGGGAGAAAATGCAACAGAGCTGCACGCCCCCCCCACCCCGCCCCCAACAGTGCACAGCCAACTAATGCCGTTTGTCCTTCTGGTTGTGGGTACTGGCTCTGTCCTAACCAGCTCTGTGGCATGATCAGGTCCATTGGTCCCTCTGGGTTTTAGCTTCTTCCTTGGTCAAGTGAGAAGTTGGGTTAGCTGACCCCTTAGCTCCCTTCCGGGCTGGGCATTCTATGATTTTGACCAGGGGCCACAAACGGGGAGCTTGTGGGCTAGATTTAGACTACGGAGTTGTTCTGTTTGGTCTGCAAAGTAATTTCATTGCAAACCTTAAAAATGGAAAGTTTCATATAAAAGTTGTAGACTTCTGGCCAGAAGCCAGACATAGATTCCTCCTGGCTGCAGTTGAAGTTGATTACTGAGAGCTCCATTTAAAAGGGATCCGTGTTCTCTTGGTTATGCAGCCCCCACTTCCTCCTTCACTCATTTATGCCGCCTGTCTGGCTCCCAGAGGCATCTGAGTTTGCAACCCTTATTTTGCCCCTCTGGATGCTGGCACATGCATAACAGGAGGTGAGCAGCAGGTGAGCGAGTGAAGCTTCATCTGTGTTTGCAGCCGCTCCCGAGCTCTAACATCACCACCTCAGCTCCATCTCAGATCATCAGGCATTAGATTCTCATGGGAGCACCAGTCCCTGGTTCCAAAACGGGTGGGGACTGCTATTCTAGAGGACCAAACACTTTTACATGCAATAGCTCATTAACCACCAAACAATCTCTAGGAACTTCATCTTGTTATTCATCCTGAGTCTACTGATAAAAACTCAGTCCATCGTCTAAGATCAGCTAGAAGTGGGCAGGGCCAGGACATAGAATCAACTCCACATTGCTCTCTTTCCACAGCTTCACATGTTCTCTGCCTCAGTGTCCCCACTTCTCACATTATTTTTTTTCTTTTCTGCTCTGGAATGCCAACCTTAGAGTATAGGGTTGGACATGAATTATTCAGGGCTGAGAGGAGGATTAGCAGAGGTGGGAGCGGGAGGTTAGGCAGCCGTGGCTGGAGCTTCAGAATGCCACGGGTGGATGGAGAAGAAAGAGCTGGCAATTACGCATCTGACTCCCAAGAAGCACTGAGTGAGCTTCACGCACCTGTACACAGCTCCTCCAAGGACCGTAGTGGAGCTCATGGTCTGGAAATGAGCCTCTCCCTTCTCTCTCATGATGATGTTGGGCTCTTGGGAATACCCATCCCTCAGAACTGACTTTTCAAGCATCCATCCACTGCTCCTGACTCCCAGATTTCCTAGCGGGGGAGGGGGGGGCGGGTTATCTGATACTTTGTAAGCTAGCTTGAGAGGAAACTCTCTGGTGTCTAAAATCTGAACCTGAGAAGGTGAAAGGAAGAAACTGTGGTGGCAGGGCCTGCATCTTCTTACCTCTGGAAAATGGAATGAGCTGAAGTCGGGAGCAAGGAAACGATTGACGTTTTTACTGTCCCTTGAACTTCTCTGTATTTTCCCCAACTGGGGGAACCATGGGCTTTTGTCATTCCAATCGACAACCTTCAGGAGCTGGGGCCGGTGAGCGGACGTGAAGACGATTCCTGCTTACTAAGCCAGTCCTCACAGGAAAGGAGCCCTGCCCCTGCCAAGAATATCTCCTGGGCTTACCCAGGACAGTGGCATTGCAGTTACTCTCCCTGATGGTCCTGATGCAAATAGTGGCTTTGAAATCACCGCTGTTGATTCGTCTGCCCCTCTAGGTGAATTACAAGAAAGGCTTCGAACACTCAAAGGCGCAGTTCCATCTGCCGTTGGACATGATAACCCTGGTGCATGCCAGGAAGGCTCAGAGCCTGGCCAGCGACCAGGACTACAGACACCCGCTCCCCCAGTACACATCTTTGGAGGAAGACCTGAGGCTCAGCTGTGCCAAGAAAGCTCACAAGTTGCAGAGTGAGGTGAGGAGACCTGACCTCTCTCTCGGGGGCTCATTCCTGTCCCGTTTGACCCTGAGGCTGTGACCTGCCAACTCCAACTGGCTCTGCAGGAAGCTCCAGAGATGAGGAATCCTAAACTTGGGGTTCCTTTTGAAATAGCACTCCGGCCTGGTGTTTCTGCCTACCTCTTAATAAGCACAATTGCACAGATCTAAACACAACAACCATTAATTGAGTATTTCTGCTGAACTCTAAGCATTGTTTTTATGCATTATCTCATTTAAACCACAAAACTACCCTATATCAATAGTCTCTGTCCCCATTTTACAGAGGAATTATAGTGAGACTCAAAGAAGTTAAGTAGCTTGCCCAAGATCACACAATAAATGAGAAAGGGGTGCCTTCTGGGCTTACCCCACCTGTTTCCTGGGGATGGCAGGCCCAGGAGGGTCAGGAGCATCAAGGAGTTCCCTACTCCTAAAGAGATACAGGATGTCTCGTCCCAACCGGCAGCAGCAGCATCCTGTCTGGTACTCACTTTACTTCCCAGCTTGCTGGGTTTTCACGCTGTGAGATTTGCAAGTAATGGGCCTGTGTCAGAAAAGAAAACTGTGCACCAAACCTGCTCCCTGGTTTGGCAGTGCCTGCGAGCTGAGCAGCGCTCAGATCTAGGTATCTGTCATCTGCTCAAATTTTGTGTCTGTGTACAGCATTTACTGAATGACATAAACTGTCAGGAACCTGAGAGCAGCGGTAGGTATGGGGAGCTGCCACGCTCAGCTTAGGGGCCTGTTGTCACTTGAGCACCTCTTGTTGTGATAGCGATTAGAAGGCAGCACACCCGGGGGTGCCTCGGTGGCTGAAGGGAAGTGAATCCGGGGACCCTTTAAACTGTCAGCCAAATCACTCAGGTACCCACACTTGCCCCCACTCACACAGACTCAGACAGGCCTTTGCCAGATAATCCTGGATTCGTTTATTAGTTCTTTCTTAACCCATGATTAATTAATGCCACCCTCTGCTGCTGGGTTTTGTTGTAGCAGACCTATTAAACCATTGCCACACTTGCCCCAAGACAACTGATTTTCTAACCACAATCCTCTCTAGCGTTTATTTTTGATTGCCCATATTAAAATAAAAATCAGCCTACCGTTCCTCTAACAGCCACTGAGACAAGTGACAGCAGCGTTATTTTCTTCTGACCTACATTTTTGTTTTCCTAATGAGCATTTACTAAGAAGCATTTGTGCATCTGCTGAATATGAGCTACCTGCAGAGACTGGCTTGGCCCCGAGTTCTAGTTATGACGCCATCCTGTAGTGGGTCCTCTGGTTTCTCTGTGCATCCCAGTTCTGAGAATTTGGCTTTTCTGGTCCCTTGTGTTGTTCCTTGTAGAATGTGTACCGGTCGGACCTGAACTTTATGCGGGGTGTCGCCTGTGTCATTCCAGGCACGTTAGAGATTGAAGGGCGAAAGAGAGCGTCTGAACTCATCAGTGAGGTAACTGGGGACCGGAGCGGGTGAGGAGCGTCAAGTATGTTTCCATAGCAGAGGAACAATTGGTTTGTTCCTGACCGCGAAAATGAGTTACATGTTACACCCTTTGCACTGGGGACTCACTGTGGAACTTCTCTCCCGGCCTCTCTTCCTGGATTCTTCATTCAGACCGAGTGTCATTTAAGACAATTTTGCAGATATGGAGTCGGTTCCTCTATTAACATATAAAGATTATTCACTGACTCATAAGATGTACTTTCCTCGTGTCCCTTTGGAGACTGGCCCTGTATTACAATGTGAAGTGGGCAAGCATTGGAGACCAACAGATGGAAATTAAAATTCCAGGCCAGCACTCATTTGCTGTGTGACCTCAAGCCAGTCACCTGCCCTCTCTGAGCCTCACCTTTTGAATCAGTCAAATGGGGACACTCATACCTCCTTTGTTTAGTTTTTGTGAGGATTAGCACTAATTTAAGCATTGTGCTTCTCTGGTGGCTGTATATGAAATAGTTACTATAAGCTTAGTTATAATTTCTTGGTAAAAATACAGAAGTCTAGAATTCTAAGCTCTTTGAATCCTGAGGAAACTTGCTCACCTCTTAGAGAACTTTGGGACTGCCATTCATGGTAGATGCAAGGACAGGTGGGCACTGGAAGTAAATGTGGTTAGTGGCCAGGCTGGGGGCATCAGATGAGCTATGGTTTGCTTGCACATTGACTAGGAACTCTGGGCAAGCGGAACTATCTTCACTGTGGAAATTTAGATATAATTCGTGCTTTGCTTTTCCAGTGAAATCTCTAAAGCAAATGGTTCTAAACCTTGTGGTGTATCAGAATCCCCTGAGAAAGCTTAGAAAAAAAATACAGAGGCCTGGGTCCTCCAACAAGTTACTGAATCCTGGTCTCCCAGAGTGGATGCAAGCTTGTGTATATTTTAAGCTGCAGTTATTTTTAGTACACTCCCTAAGCTGAGGAACCCTGGATTTCTAGCAAGTAAAGGTGGAGAGCAAAACTTGAATTTCAACTGTCATGTTCACATTCATGGTGAAGGACTAGATCTCCCTTTCCTGTTGTCAAGTATCTGAGTTAGTCCATCCTGTCCTTTCTGCTTCTTCATCCCAGTGAGTTCTGGTTTTATACCTTACCGAATCTCCTTATTCCTTTGCATGTGTGAATTCAGAGTAAATATCGTCAGCATCCACAGTCGTTCAAGTACACAGCTGTGACAGACACTCCCAGCCTCCTTCATGCGAAACTCAGCAACCAGCTCACGAATGAGGTAAACGTCTCCTGATGGCTTGGGAATGGACTTTTACAAAACTGCTAGATTATGAAGAATATGTGTGAATATTTGTGGGTCGGAGTCGGGTAGTGGTAGAAAGCATGGGTGTTTGTATGGAGGTTTAGAAGAAAAGAAACGCCATTACACAGAGCCTAAATGTTTTCCAGCAGGAAAGAAGGCCCAGCTGGAAATCTGATTAAGTCTCTATGTAGTCTTGCTACCCAAGGGCAGTCACAGACCAGCAGCATCAGCGTGTCCTGGGAGCTCGTTAGAAGGGCTGAGCCTCAGGCCCCACCCCAGACCCGCTGAATCCACCTGGCCCTTTAACAAGGTCCTCACCTGCTTCCTTTGCGCATTAAAGTTTGAGAAGTTCCGGTCTGTCCATCGAGGCAGATATTGGCTAAGCACTTTCACATCGTCATTCTGATGATTATTGTAAGGAGAATTTGTGGTTAGTCAAGGACAGTTCTCCGGTATGGTGTTTGTCAGGCTTTTCAAATTTCTCCCTCATCTTCTTCTCATTCACTGTTTACCCGTCACACTTTAATATCTCTAATGGGGAGGGGGATACAGGGGAAGGAATCTCATTATGTAACACCATCGTTCCGGTCCTAATTCCTCTTAGTGGCTCTTCTACAAGTTGGAAATAGAAAGTGAACTTGGCAGAGAATTAAATTTTACATCATCTTTACTTTTTAAGATTCTCCTTCTGACTCTAACTTTTAGAAATCAGTTGAGTTTTCGCTATTTATATTATTAGTTCCCACTCTCACCTCAAGTCAAAAAGGAAGAAATGACAGCTTGGGGTAAGAACGTCTGACGGGCTTGTATAGTGCTGTTACCAATTTAAAATTCCTACTTAACCTTGTCTGCCTGCTTTGTGAGCTGGGTACTGTGGAGTAACAATGCCTCTTATGATGGCCTTTGGGCTTGGAGGACTCAACAACCACAGACCTATTTTTAATCATGAGAGCAGACATTTTTATATCGAATGTGGCCACCTGGGGCAGCATGGATGTCATTTCACCCACAGAAGCATCCAGGACTTTAGTGAAGAATGCAGACCATGGTCTGCGAACCTCCCTTACGCATCGCAGAGTTTCTCCTAAATTCCCCAGGTCTGCAATGCAGGGAACCTTAAGAGCATGTTTTTCTTTCTTCATTCTATGATTGAGCAAAGTGTAGGGGAAGAAAAAATATCTTTTTCTTTACCCATCTTAGGTTCTGGGGCTGGGGCTATGTAAGAAAAGACAGATTAACAAGAAGAAAAAATATAACAAGTAAAAAGTATATTTAATATAAGCTTTACGTGATTTGGGAATCTTCATAAGGAAATGAAGACCCAAAGAAACGGTGAAACCTGAATGTGTTTATACTAGTTTTGATGAAGAATGCAGAGTTGTGGAAAAATGTGATAGGACAGAAGAGTATAAGCTAAGTGTAGGCACCTGGGGGACACTTAGCAAGGTCTGCTCACTCAGATTCCTCTCTGCATCCCTCCATCTTCAGAGGTAAAGATGCTCTTCTCCTTGGGTGCAGGGAGGGCACCCCTCACTGGAGGGTCTCATGACTTGCTTCAGGGGAGAAGGTCAGAGAGAATCCTTCTAGCAGGTACCTGCACATCTCACGTTCCTTCAGCTTAAAATATTCAATATGCCAAGGTGCCACGTTTCAGAGAAACATGTCCTGAACCCTATCAAAAGCCACTTGCAATTTCTTACATATTCTTTTTATATTGCTCGATTTGACTCATGAAAGACTGTCTTCATTGAAAGAAATATCTTCTCCATGGTATGCCCGTGACACAACAAATGGCCTTTTACAGACGTGTTCCCCAGTGGCAAATGAGGGGCCTCTAGCTCTGCAGAAATGCACAACTCTTATCTTCTTTTCTTTCCCTCCCTCCCTTCAAAAGCTAAATGGCTTTGAAAAACATTAAATGTTCACCAGTCATGGAGGAGCAGGGTTTCCTTTTCCCTCCCTTCTTCCCTCTCTCCCTTCCTTCCTTCCTTCCTTCCTTCCTTCCTTCCATTTTTCCTTTGTCCCAGCGCCTCTACAAAGCAGCCGGGGAGGATGCAAAGCACCAGTACACAATGACTCTGGGTCTGCCTGAGTTTGTCCGAGCGAAAACAAATGCGGCCAATTTGAGTGATGTAAGCCTTTCTTGTTGCTGAAGTTCAAGCATGCTCCAAAGCCACGTGTGTCTGTGTCTATGATGTGATCTAACAGTGACCCTTCTGGCATTCACAGAAACTTAAAAAAAAAAAAAATGTGTCATTTAGATGCTCACATTAAATATACCTTTTCACAAATGTGTTGCGTAGATACGTGTCAGAGCCCAGTACGGCGTGTGTGCTAATGAGATTTTCTTCACAAAATAAAAAGCTTTTGCTTGTCAGAAATTGATTCCAGAACATTGTAGTACAAGTGAAAGGAGTAGCCTTTGTTCGTTGATTCATGTATTTTTTTTTTAAAAGAAGGTCTACATGTGTTCCTACTGTAGGCAAAATACAAGGAGTCTGGGCGTAATCTCCGTGCTCAAGGCTACAAGCTGACAATAGACGCTCTCCCCTTCCAGGCTGCTCGGGTCTCTGGAGATATAGCCAGTGATGTGAGTTGAATGATATGACCTTCCATCTTGCCTAATTTCTGTTAACTTCATGTAAAACGATGTCTACGGCTGATTTTCCGAATTAAAGCAAATCTATCACCATGTGAGACAGGATGTCACCTGCAGAATATATTAGTTATGAATGAGATTCTTTGATGGAGGGAGAGAAAGAAAGCTTTTGTTAATGAGAAGCTAAATTCAGGCAAAGGTCTCCGGCAGGAAGGAGATTACTATTTCTGTCTAATTACGATGTCTAGGCAACCACCCCCTGTAACGTGTGAACAGCCTGTTTTCTAACTCCACCCAGAATTAGAAAGAGGCCTCACAGTAGAAATTATAATACAGCCCTAACACATCCCCCTCCTGGCTCTCTGTAGTTTCGCATGTTGGCGTTAAGATTTGCCAGCTGTGTTTCAGCCACTCTGTCGATAGTGTCCATAGCTTTGGGACGTGAAGGTGACTTTCTCTTTCCCACAAACAAATCACAGAAAATGTGGACTTCAAATAAATGGATCCTGTCTTTTGGGCTGAATGTTTTGCCACGCACGAATAGATAAAGCCCACGTTTCTCTTTTACGCGTTTTTGATAAATTCCTTTTGGCCACCGGACATGTAAGGGGAGTAGGGCCCTTATTTTGGTTCTGAGGATCTGGTTATAATTAGAAAAGAGGAATGGGGGATGTTTTAATTGTTCATCCCTCAGGGAGGAAGTATGCCAACCTCACTATGTTTTTTATTATAATCATTACCTCCTAGTGTAAGAACAGGTGATTTTTCTAGGGTCTACGATGGAAATGCACAAATAGGATTTAGCAAGACTGATGTCGGCTACTGACCGGCTGATCCTCCCCTTTCAGTTTCTCTACAGACACGACTTTGTGAAGGAGCGAGGGAGGCTGATTGGGGTCCGGGGCGTGGACGATGACCCCCGGCTCCGGCACTGCCGGCGGATGGGCCAGCTGCAGAGCGAGCATCAGTACAGGAGGGAGGCGGTGGACAGCCAAGCCCAGTGCCACCTGCCCTTGGACATGGTGCACCTGGTCCACGCCAGGAAGGCCCAGGCCCTGGCCAGTGACCATGACTACAGGACGCAGTGCCACGAGTTCACGGCGCTACCTGAGGACCTGAAAATGGCCTGGGCCAAGAAAGCTCACGCCCTGCAGAGCGAGGTAGGTGGAGCCTTGTGGATCACACACCTGCCCCCGACCTTCCTCCTCCCGCCACGCCTGGATGACTTGCTCCATCTATGTCATCTAGGTTGGACTTATTCAATTGATCATTTGGCAGGAGTTTATTGAGCACCCACCAGGTACCATGCCTTAGTCTAGGTGCTGAGGATACAGCGGTCAACAAAAGAGCCAGAAAACTGTGCTCGTGGAGCTTCCATTATAGGAGAGGGAGATAAAACATAATAAGTAAAATATTTAGTGTGTCGGAGGGTGGTACCTGCTACAGAAACAAACAAAGCAGGGCAGTGGGGTAGGAGGGTGCGAATGTGTGTGTCTACCTGTACACGTGCAATTTAAAAGGGGTGGTCAGGGTAGTTCCCATGGAAAAGGAGACATCCGCGCGAAGACCGAAGGAGATGCTGGAAGGGAATAGAGCACTCCAGCAAGCAGAGTAGCACATTCGAAGGCCAAGGCCCAGAGCAGAGGCAGCTTCCGCGTATTTAGGGCCAGAGGGAAGCACATGGGTGAGCGAGGAGGATGTTGCAGGGGATGGGGCCCGAGAGAGAAGAGGGGCTCGACCGAGGATGGTAGGGGTGATGGTGATGACGGTAGAGTGATTTTAACCGTAGCGGATCCGTACTGGCTGCTTGCCATCGCTGTCACCCTCACTACAGCTCTGCGAAGTGGGGACAGTCATTACTCCTGTTTTGAAGATGAGGCCTTGTTAGAGGTGCTGGGGCAACACTGGCTCCAGAAACCACACTTTTAACCAGGCTGCTCTTCCTCAGGGAGCTCAGTGCAGGCAATCCATGCTTCCAAACAGGGCGGTGGGTAGCGCCAGCCTGGCCCATGTCACCGTGGAAGGCTCTGGAGTCAGCGTCTTCAGAAGTCAGTCCCATGTCCCCGCCAAGGCTTGTTTTGCTCCGCTGGGACATGGTGAAGATCACATGGCTGTGGTCAGCTCTTACTGGCTTCGCACGCATCACCCGTCTGGGCCCCATGGCGTGCCCCGAGGAAGGTGCTCTCGTTCTAGAACATAACCCATGGGAGGGTGGTCACATTGACCCTCATCATCCATATCAGGATTTCTCAGCTCTGGCACTGTTGACCTTTGGGGCTGGATAATTCCTTGTCCTGGGGCCTTTCTTACATCTAGCAGCTTCCTGGCCTCTACCCACGAGATACCAATCGCACTTCTTCTACCCCAGAGCGACAATCAAAAATGTCTTAAAATATTGCCAAATGTACCTGGGGGACAAAAATTGTGCCCGATTGAGAATCTCAGTTGTTAACTGGTCTCTATGAAGCACTCAGCGCCTGGTCCATAGAAACATGCCAGTAAATGTTGGCTATTTTGCTTATGGTCTCTACACCAAGCCTTCTGGTCTGGTCTCCCTCAAGCTGTGATTGCTCTTGCTTTAGTTAAGGCAGAGGCAGAGTTTATAAACACATGATCGATGATTAAGTATGACAGAATGATTGAATGAATTTAATTGTCACCTAATTATTGTTACAATTTTCTGGAACAGCAGTATTGCATTAATCAATATCAAGTCCAGCATGGAGCAGGGTGAGTTCATTGGGCCTCACACAGGGGACGTGGTTACTGAAGCACAATCTAACTTCATCTTAGAAAGACCTTCCACTAGAGAGAAGGCCATCCTGCAGCCCCCAGGAATAGCTTGTAGGATGGCTCGGGAGCTCTTGTCAGTGGCTTGCTCTGCGGAGGAGAGCATCCTTCTGAGACCGGACAGGCCTCTGATGAAGATACAGAGGCCACTTGGGAGAGGTGAGAGGACCCCAGCTGGGAGCCCGAAGATGTGCTTTAGAAGCCCAGCTTTGCCACTTCCTGGCTGTGTGTCCTTCAGCAGTATCTGTACTTTCTAAGCCTCCATCTCTCCATGCGAAAAGGACAGAGTTTCAATTTGATTGGTAATTTCCGATTTCAGGCTTCATTGGTCACTGTTTGTAAAATGGTGGCATCAACATAATGTCAGGTTTTTATTTTACCAAGTAAGGAAAAAGAAAAAACAAAAACAAAAACAAAAACTAAACACTACCCCAAGATACCATTTATAGCTCTGTTACTTCTGAAAAGAAAGATAATTTTAACATTAAAAGAAAAGGGTAGGAAAAACAGTCTAAAAAGAAGACTCCTTCCCAAGAAATGGTAGTTGGCAATGTTAGGCTACCATTTTACAAAACGGATATGCATTAAAATTTGGGGAAGTTATTGCTTATTTTTAAAGTTCCATTTTATGTTTCATGCATTGTTATATAAACTTCAAGCTTATTCATTTGGGGGTCTGGATTCAAAGATGCTGTGAACAGTAGACCCCACGATATGTGGAACACTTATTCTGGGCCAGGCATTTGTTTAAATATTTTGCACCAACTATCTCTAATGTCTAGATAGGTACTAGTATTATGCCCATTTTTACAGATGCAGCAACTGATACACCTATAATCTCGAGTGAGTTTTACCCAGTGTCACAAGCTGGCAGGGAAATGACTTGCTCAAGACCATACAATGAGGCAGTAAGAAGAGGCAAAGCCGAGCTCTTATTTCTGGACTCTGGCCTTGGCTCCTTGGCTCCCCCAGGTGGCTGGATTAGGAACCCAGGTGCCCTGGCTCCTGAGGGCTGTCTTCAAGACCAGAGTGTCATGTCCAGAGGACAGCTCCTAGTGGCTCTTCTAAGAATCTGAACAATCATTTGAACACCAAAATCGTCCTGTGGATGGGAATAAGAACCCTTCCCTCGCAGGACAGTGTGTGAACAGAATGAATTAATGAGTCTAAAGCAGCATACACCCTATGCAAGGTAGTGATTACAATGATCCTTATTTCTCTGACAAATATACCCTTCCCCTGGCCACCTCTTGGGTGCAACTGTTTGCATCGTTCCTGTTAGAAATCAGCGACTGAGACCTACAGCTTGTACATTTGTAACACAGTGCTCCAAAACGGGGGTGCCAGGAAACCCCAAATGCGAATCTGCAGGTGGCTTCCAGGCCTTCATATGTACAAGGGAAGTCAGCAAGGCTGCCACCTGGGGATGCCAGATTCAGCTGGGCAGCTTGAGAAGGTCTCTTATCATCTTAGAATCCTTCTTGGAAACCATCTTCTAGCAGCTGCTCCTTCTCAACTCCCTTCCTCCCTCCCCCTCTTTTATCGTGAAGTCTGGGGCAGGCATGTTGTTTTTAGGGTCTGTGTGAATAGTCAAAGCTGGGCTGGGAGCTGAAATATCAATAGACAATCCATTTATAAGAGAGTCTGAGGCGCAGTCAGATCTTTGGGGAACCCGTATCTTGCTTTCTGACTTACCTGCGATTGTACTGCTCAGCTCAACAAAAGACGAGTTGAAAGAGCGTTCCCCACTTCATCTCGATTATGAAAGGAGCAAGGCCCGGCTGTGAAGAGGCCCTGTAGGATTATTCTCTCTAACTTAGAAATTTATCCAATTTTCTCTGTTCTTTATCAGAGTGGAAGGCAAAAGCTTTGCCGGTGTAGACTGAAAGATCGCGGTCTAAAAAGCCATCTTACTGACATGGGGTTTTGAAACCTGCTCCTGAACCCGACTGATGTCTCCCTGCACCAGTTGGAAAGCAGAGTTGAATTTGCACAGGGCATTAACCAGCAGACAGTAGATCAGAAACGGGCCCTCTTTGAGGCCAGCTGTGAGGAACGCTGTGAATCCTGAAATGAAAGACAACTAAAAAGGCCGAAAGGCTGATTTCTGGAGTGATATTTGGCGTTACAGCAGAGCTTATATCTAAATTAGAGAAATGCTATCAACTTCGTTTAGGTCTAAATTTTAGATTTCCTTGGAGAGTCTTTTTCTACCTTTAAAAATGCCTAATTTCCATAAAGAAGTAGGAAAGCGTTCCTGTGACTGCCTCATTGTAGGTAACGGTGGGCAGAGACAGGAACGGCGATGAGATCTGAGGTTTCGGGAGATCACCTAATTAGACCGTTGTCTTTAAGCAACGCTTACGATTTTCTCCTACGAAGGATGTAGTTTTTCATCCTCTGAGCCCTTAAAATGAGAAAAATGGATAAGGCTTAGCCCATTTTTGCAATGTGAGCAAATCACGAGTGACAGTGGGAGGGGGTAAACTGAGGCACAGAAAGATTAAAATGGCTTACACACTATTTATTAGCTGGTTGTATCTAAGTTTATTCTAGTTTTTAGAGTCCCCCTAGAATTGTCCTCCCCACCCTCACTCACTACCACAAGGGGAAAAAAAATCCAACGTATACAGTGGCTTCTGCCCGAGGGCTCCTCAGGTGTTTTCATAAGAACACTGTGGCTGTGACCTGCAGGCATCACAGAGAGGAACTGAGTCACATTTCGGTAAAGTGATTTGCTCTGAGTCAGAACAGGTCTGATCCAGAGCTCAGAGCACTTTTATCAACTGAGCATGTGTCAATGTTTCGATTTCAGCGGCCGGTCAGTCACCTCACCGCCCGGATGTGCTTGGGCTTGGGCACATCTCAGCTCCTCCTATAAGTGGTCATTCGCACGGGTCAGGGTCATTCCCCTCCGCTTCCGGTCCTGCCAGTTCACTGGTGTGGCCTTCTCGTATCTTACCTATGCTCCATTATTTGATTCCTGGCAGAATGCACAAATTCAAACGATTCGACGTAATAACACGCAGAATGCACTCCAAATGGAGATGTTGAAATGTCGTGATGGAATGTTATTACAAATGCCCCAATGGCTTAGACACTCTCCTGATAAAAGCCAATGCTTTTCTTCCTGCAGTTGCGCTACAAGTCAGACCTGATGGGCATGAAAGGGACAGGATGGCCGGCGCTGAGTTCCCCGCAGATAGAGAGTGCCAGGAAAGCTGGAGAACTCATCAGTGAGGTACCATCAAACCGGCTCGACCACTAATGCAACCTAGCACTCATTGCCTTCTGAATCTGCTTCGGGGGTGGAGGTCCCAAGAGGGCCCCAATGGCCACTGGCTTCCAGTGTTTTTTGGGGGGTCATTAACCAAATCCCAAAATGGAACAAGATTTCTCTTGAAATGAATTCACTTTCTGAGGAGCGAAAGACAGGTTCTAGATTGGGCAGTGAAAGATGGAAAAAGAAGCTTTAGAAGGTTCTCAGTAGATACGTTATGTACATTTATGATCTACACTCATTATTTTCATGGGGGTGGGGCTCAGTCTTCGCTACCCACTTACTGAATTTACTTAGAATGTCCGGTGTCCAGGGGTTCTCTGATTCCAGATGGGTTAAACGTTGCACAGTGATACTTACATTAACTGATTAACTGAACTCCCATAGTATTGTTGGCCGGGGGGTTCTCGCCCTGGGATTCTCTCGAGGGTGGCGCTGTCTTCGTCAGTTTCTTAAAAACAGAACTTGCTTGGACAGAGTCCTGGCAGGGCCACACTGATGCTGAATCCTGCCCGCTTCTGAATTCCTTGTGACGAGATCTGGTATTTTGCAGCCCTCCCCTCCCCCCGCTTTTTTTTTTTTTTCAGGAGAGTAAAAACATAGAATGTTCCTTATCCCAGAGGCAGCTTAGATTTCTTCTGTATTCTTGTTACGTGCCCACCAAGAAGAGAGACTCGTTTTCCAATAATGTCATTGTCATATTCGGTACTAAGTAGGTGGGGTGCAGCTGCATCCAAAAAGATACACAGCGTTCGACTGTTTTGTGGGAACCTTTGTCTTCCTCTTCCAGACCAAATACCGTAAAAAACCAGACAGTATCAAGTTCACCTCGGTGGTTGACTCTCCGGACCTTGTTCATGCCAAGAACAGCTACATGCACTGCAGTGAGGTGAGTGTTTTCTCATCACTCATCCCAGGCACACGGTAGCAAGTAGAGCTACTCAGTGGTCAATGCTTAAGGACCTGGGCTCCGATTAGGATAGACGTGAGTGCGCACCTTCTGTCTACTACCTGGGCGGTCTTGAGCCAGTAACTTAATCGCTTCTAATCTCTGTCCTCTTGTTGGAAAGGAGGGTAAGGATCACAACCATTTCAAAAGATTAAGTGAATTAAGTGAAGATTAAATGAATAAAAGCGCTGACTTTTAGCATGTATCTGGGACATAGTAAGTACTCAATAAATGCCTCTTATTATGGCTTGATTCATAATAATAACAATAGCAGATATTACTGACAACCCTTTCCCAGACACTAGATCAAATACATCTTAATTGTTGATAGATGGTAATGGAATTTTAAGCTTAACATAACCCAGTTAGAGAAAAAAAAAAAAGAACAGCTATATTAAAAGCTTCTTTCTGCTTTACTCTCTGTATGACTTAGCCCCATTTCCTCTCTCCTGTATTTATTTCAAAGAATAGGAAGTTAAATATTTTTTCCTCTGGAATTGTCAAAGGATTTATCTCTGCACACACACAATGACAAAGCTGACCATCTTCACACAGAGTCCAAATGCTGTGCCGACCAGTTCACATTTAGAGAGCCCAAACTGAATTTGAGAAAGGATTGCAATATTAAATATTAAACTTTCCTCTCTAAAAATAGATGAGACTCACATGCTTCCTAAAAGTGTCTGCAATTCTTAGATCACTGCTCTGAAAATAGCAACTAAGTTAAAGCTCGAGTTTTAAAATCGTGTCTTCCTGGGACCCAGGTGGACTTCAAAAACTTTAATTTTCTGAATACGTATTAAGGTATTTTATTTAAAAAGACTAATTAGCTGTTGTGTCTTCTTAATGATAAATAACAAAGGCATTTAGGCATCTCGTTACTGGTAAAAAGCTTGAACACTGCTCAGTTGCAAAGATTCCGTGAAGTATCCACACTCCTTATACTGTTTGTAAAGCACACAAGTATGGCCAATCAGAAGCTTGCTTTGTAGCCCATTTGGAGCAGATCTTGATGAATATTTTAAACAGGATCTACTTAGAAGCAGCACCCAACCTGGCTCTGGCCACGTGGGCCCTCCATCAGATGGTGGGTTCTGGAGGGATGCTCTGCACATGCAGGCTGGGCTCTGCTCCTATGGGCCAGGTGGGCAGTAGAGAGGGAGGGGCAGGAAAGGGATCAGCCTGCTCCTCGCCTGTGCTTTCAGCGAGCGTAGTTCTCCATTGACTGTGAGTCTGTCTTACCCGCAGCGCCTGTACAGGTCAGGGGACGCGGAATCCCTGCACAGATACACCCTGATCCCCGACCACCCCGATTTCACCAGAGCCCGCCTCAATGCCCTGCATCTGAGTGACGTAAGTGAACCAGCAGTTCATCGGATGTGCCTGTTCCTGTCAGATTATCTGTGCCCAAACTGGATATTATTTGTTGATAAAAAAACGTCTTGGGAAGTAGAACTTGGAACAGAAAGAACACTGGAGACAGCGAGTGGTACAAACCGCATGTGTGATTTTGAGTCACTTTGCTTGCTGGGCCTCAGTTTCCTCAACTGTGAGATGAGGGTGGAGCTGGGCTGCTGATGTCTGTGGTTCCTTCTGGTTGTAGACACGACTGCAGAGAGCTCAGTGGGGCGCTGGGTTACACTCACAAGGGTGGCCCTGGCCTGGCAGGTGTAGATGCTCTGTTTCTGGAACACTCCTCCTTAGCCATTCAGAGTGGCTCTCTCTCACCCGTAGTTTGGAAGGACGCTGCCATCGTGGCCCATCAGGTCCAAATACAATTTGCTCCTTTGTGCTTTGGGCTGTGGCCTCCAACACTTCGGTTTCCCTTGGGTGTGTGCCCTTTGCATGCATAACCAAGACACTGTTTCCTAAACCCAGGCTCGTTGTTAGCAGGGTTTGGAGGCCCCTGGTTGTAATAGAATAGGCGGCAGCTCGGCCAGCAAAGCTGTGATCCTGGGATAACAGGTAGCGCGGGCGGCGGGATCAAAAGACACTGTCAGATCAGAATAACACAGGCTGAGTGTGTCAGCCTGGGGCTGCGTGGGGCCTCCCAGAGCCCGCCATTCTTCCCTCCCTGGCCTGGCCATTGTGTCCTGGGGCTCCATGCAGATCAACAGCTGCTACCGTTCACCCCAGAGGTGGCTGCCTCGCAGGGGTTGGCGAGAGGCGCCTTCTAGTTAGCGTGTGTATTAGTTTGTTGCGTTTGTAAAGCCCTGTGGGATCCCACGCGGTGAATGCGATGGTGCTTTGTAAATATGAGTTATTATGACCATTCGAGGCTTTTGAGAGATGAGCGACGGATAATTTTAGAACAGCAGCTCTAGTGGGCTGACCTCCGTCTGGGGAAGCGGGACCTCCCCCTTGGCAGAACTCGGACAAAACATCCGTCTCATTAATGGTTCGAGCATGGGGGAAGGCCAGGCCTCCATGTGAGAAACTATTGGATGCCCACACAGCCCTGGAAACTGAGATAAAACTGCCAGTCCGTGTGGGGCCCAGCTTAAGGAGGGCAGCCATTCCGGGCTGGTGACAGAAGCATCTTTCCTCTCACGAGGGACGCCAGTCTGTAGAGTCCTGGAGCTGAAATTAGCCACCAGGGCATGCGGACATGGAGAACTCATGAACCTCTTTTGAAAGAGCACTTCTTCAGGGGCGTGGAGAATAGGCATGATTGGATCAAGTGCTGCGTGAGAAGGATGTGGAGGGAAAGTGACCTTCCTGGGCAAAGAAAGCCATTGAGATGTGTAAGGCAGCCGAAATAACTAAAAATCAAATGACTCTAATGTGTGAGGATGAGGACAAAACTGTGCCCACTGTGATAAAGAAGAGGAATGCCCAGGGTTCCAAATCAAAGAGCCTGCGGAATCTAAAGGCTCCCAGTGGCAAGGCAAAAACCTCAACAGAATAAAAAACTCAGGGAGGAAGTGATGACAATCAAGCAAATAGTATACAGGGAGAAGTGACCAAGATAAAGGGAGCCAGTGCCTTGGCGAGAACCCCAATTTGGGCCACGCTCTCTAGTTGACTCTCAGCTAAAGAGACTTGGAAGCTGGGGCACATCGGACACCGAATTGGGGTGACATTGGAGTTTGATGCTGTGTAAAGTTTGGCATCATCGTCTTGTCCAGATCTGGTGTGGAGGCTCTTATTAGGAAGGCAATGACGGTCTCTGATCTCCAGAGAATGATAAGGGATTGACTCTATTTGCTACTCTAGTGTTTGTGGATCCCCAAAACAGGAAGCACAGTGCTAAAGGGGATGGTCGATCTCTCGTTTTCTGAATGCTCCTCCCCTTCTAGATGGCTCTCGGTCTTGCCTGCTAAACTCAACAGTGACTAGTAAATCTAATCATTTAGGCCCTGTTTAAGATTCATCAAGTAGGTCATTACCTCAGTGATTATTGGTTCTGTATTTTAAGGCCTTTGAACATAGTAGATATTTGGCTTCTGGTTCCTGGTGTTGGATGTTGGAGATACAGGTGAGGGGGACAGCAGGACACGAAAATGACAAGATCTACCATGCTTGGCCCAAGCACTTTGTGATCCCTTCTAGTTTCAGGCCCAGTTAGTTGTAGGGTGGGTCGAGCTTTTATATTTTTATCTGCCACTGCTACTTTGCTTAATTCCCCCCACCCAGTCCTCTGTAGAACAGAGCCCTAGCCTTGACCTCTCTTTCCAAGTGACAAAACTGAGGTTCTTACGGGCGCCCTGACCTGCTATGTCTCACTGAAAGAGCGAGCAACCAACGTGATCTGGGGCTGTCACTTTGTCATCTGCTGGTGATGTGCTTCTCCTGCTGTCTCCCTTCTCTGTGGCCGAATAAAGGACAGATCCTCCAGTGGGACCTCCAGATGACTCCTTTCATGGAGCCATTCCATTATTTTGGAAAAAAAAAAAATTAGCTACATAAAGGCATGGGAGATTTTGATGCCTCTGTCGGTACGTGGGTCTGCCTGAAGACTAAGAGGATGTGATTACAGACTCCCAGAGGGTGTGCGAGAACAACTTGAAAAGAGAAAAAAGTGAAAGCGGAAGATGTGAAATACGTGGGTCAGGAAGTCGGTCAGGTTCTTGACGTTCAATTTAATTTAGATGAAGGCTCTTCCCTCACTCGGCGCAGGCAACAGGGGTGCATATGGGATGCAGCGTGGTTCCTAGTGATGGGGTAACACGGCATTGATGGTAGCCAAGGGTCCCCCAGGAAGTCAGTGGAGCTAACGAACACATGGGGACCAGGACCCAAGGAACAGTACTTTAAGCGTGTGGGAAGAAACAGAGCTTATGAACTTTGAGGTCTGGCATCTAGAAGCTGCCAACCTGAGGCACTGGAAGTAAATGCAAACACAGGAAGGAGCGACGCGGGGCGGGGGCCTCAGATACCAACAGGATGTGGCAATTGGGTCAGACCCGCAGACCCCAAAACCCACAAGAGCAAGGCGTGATGCTCAGATTGGGCTTACAGCTGAAACCCTTGGTGGCCAGCCCCACCGATCCCAAAGCTGGGAAGGTCCCCAGGATGGACGCGGGGCCGTGGGTCCTGCCATTCTGGGTACCAACCAAGCAGAGGGTTTAGGAACTGCTCCCACTGAGATCCAAGAACGTGGCAGACATGGGGTGAATCCCTGCTCACTCATTTCTTTGTTTTCCTTACCTAGAAAGTCTACAGAAACTCTTGGGAACAGACCCGGGCTGGTGGCTATGACTTCCGGTTGGATGCCATCCCATTCCAGACTGCCCGGGAGTCCAGGGAGATCGCCAGTGACGTAAGAGATCGTGCACTCTCTCCTTCTATGACCGATAGGTTTTACTCTGGTTTCCCTACTTCTGTTGAAAGGCAAATCACCAGGAACCAAAACTTAACAAGTGTCTCAAATGAAAGAAAAAAATAGGTTTTCTTTTCTAGACTCTTAGCCAGAAATATGGAATTGGGGAAGTCTGTTATTTCTGCTCCCTTTCTTTTAAAAGTGTCACTCTTAGAAGCTGATTTATGTGTACCTAGATGTCAATTAACATGTTATTGATTTGTTGATCTTTAATAATGGACTCTTTTAGCTGAACTGCAGTGTGAAAGGGTAGAAATAGTTTGGGTTTTCCCCCTAGATTGACTTGAGTTCAGATTGTGACTCTGTCGACTTAGGAATTGGCTCTGAGGTCTTGGGCAAGTTGCTTAAATTCTCTGAACTCAAATTTCTACATCTATGAGATAAGGATCTAATTAATACTTATCTCCCAGGATTGAGGTAGGAATGAACAAAAAATGGTTTTCAGTGTCATGCACGTAGCAGATGTTCAACACATGGCAGCTGTTATTATGGAAGCGGAAGGCATCTTTGACTAGCTCTGTGAGCATTCACAAATGGCTTGTTACTGGTCCACAATGAAATGAGTACAGAAATCAAGAGCAAGCACTTGGAAACATTTTCAGCAGTTGGACATTGTGACATCCAAGCATGTGACCAGTGCATTTATCTCATTGAACAGTGGGGAGGCCAGCTGGGTGTTTTCAAATGCATGTGGTACTACTACGTACCAGTTTCATGCAGTAAGGTCACATATTGGATTTTAATGGATCAGAAGTTTAAAAAGCAAAACAAAGTGAATGCATTTCTTCACTATCAAGGGTTTGGGGTGCACTGGACTGGGTTCCTGAAAGCTGAAAAGAATCAAAGGAACAGCGGCTGCTGAAAGAATGGGCATACTTCCCTTCCTGTTGGATTATGAGTTACAGCAGCAATAATACCAGTAGCCACCACTCAGTGCCAGCCATGAAGCTAACCCCCATCTCACTGATTCGTCTCAGTGGGGTGGAGGTTCATTATCCAGTTTTATCAGGTGGGGAAACTGAGGCTCAGAGAGACTCACACTGCTAGAAGGTAGCAGAGGGAGATACAGATGCCAGGTCTACTTGAATCCAGAGCTGTGCCCTTAACCCATTGTTGAACGTCCTGCTGAGCATCTGTAGGCTGGCTCCAGGGGGAGAGGTAGGCACCCTGACCCATCTCTGCTCTTCTGACCTGCAGTTCCGGTACAAAGAGGCCTTCCTGCGGGACCGAGGCCTGCAGATCGGGTTCCGCAGCATCGACGACGACCCAAGGATGAGACATTTCCTCAGTGTTGGCAAACTCCAGAGTGACAATGAGTACAGGAAGGACTTTGCTAAGAGTCGGTCCCAGTTCCACAGCCGTGCAGACCAGCCTGGCTTTCTCCAGGCCAAGAGGAGCCAGCAGCTGGCCAGCGACGTGTGCTACAGGCAACCTCTGCCCCAGCCCACCTGCGACCCGGAGCAGCTGGGCCTGAAGCATGCTCAGAAGGCCCACCAGCTGCAGAGTGATGTAAGCTGCCCTCACCTGCCTGGCCGAGGCCCTTTGGTGCCTCTTCAAAGGAGATGGTCATCATCCCACATTCATGTCACCTCTGGGAGGAGCCAGGCTGAGAGAGGATCCAGGACACTTAACACTTTAGTTTTAGAAGAAATAATAACAATACCTGCTATTTATGAAGTTCTTGCTGTGGGCCAGGCTCTGTGCCAAATGCTTTCCAAGCATGGTGCCTGCCATGTGGCCCTCACAACAACCCCATTATTGCCCCATTTTACAGATGAGGAACATGAGGCTTAGAGAGGTTAAGTAACTTTCTCAAGGTCACACAGCCAATGAGTGGCAGACCTGGGATATGAACCCCATCTGATTTGATGTGTGAGGCCACGCTCTTGATTGCTATGCCACACTTTCCGAGGGATTTTAGTAGTTCCTTCACCCAGCCCTAGACTTTTCTCTCTGGGAGGAAACTGAAGCCCAAAGAAGGGGAATAACCAAAGCCACAGAGCTAGTTAAGGTAGGAGCTCAGACTGGAGCCAGGTCTCCCCACCCACCACCCCCATTGCTGCTGCCCTCACTTGAAGGGAAAGATGCAAGGGATAGTGAGTGACATGCTGGCCTAGCTCACAGCACACTGGGTCTTCAGTGTCAGGGGGCTCTTGGCTAAGGTGAGTTGTTCCACTTTTCCTGGCTTTTCTAACAACACATTCTCCATATTGCAGCCACCTTTAAGCCTGTGTATCCTGTGGCCAAATTACCCCCGACCCTGCTGACATATCCCTCTTGCTTCCCCCCATCCCCCAAGGTCAAGTACAAATCAGACTTGAACCTGACCAGAGGTATTGGCTGGACCCCTCCTGGTTCCTACAAAGTGGAAATGGCTCGGCGGGCTGCAGAACTGGCCAACGCGAGGAGCCGGGGTCTCCAGGGCGCTTGCGTAAGTAGCAAGCTGCAAACCCGCCTCGGCTCGCGGGGACATGAGGAGAGGCAAACTCATTGTTTCTTTGCAAACTTTATTTTTGGCCAAAGATCAGGTGGCTCTAAAGAAGTGTGAAAGGCAGCTCGAGCAAGGTACCTAATTTCCTGGGTCTGAGATGACCAGGCAGATGACACCCGGGTTAAACTTCCTGCAGGGTTTTCTCTGAAGTCACAGCCATTAGTTCGGCAGAGACGAACCTGCCAGGGTTGCATCAATCCTGGGGCTGCCTGCCTGCTCATTACACTCTCGGAAAAGGTCAGGGACTTGCTGGCTACAGCAGTCTGCGTTTTGAACCCTACTTTGTTCAGAAGAAAGATGCCACATCTAAATGAGAGATTGGCTTTGCTTCTCATTCTTTCCTTGAGGATCCTTTTTCTGGGGGCGGGGGAGGGTGCGGTGAGGAGGGGGAAGGAAGGGGAGAGTGAACACTTTAAATGCTCCTGGGCATCTTAGACAGCTTATCTTTGGGGGAGCAGGGTGGGGGCTCCGTTCTGGCTCAGGGAGGAATGTTTGATTTCTACAGGAGGGGCCAGAGGTTCTGAAGACTGGAGCTAATCAGAGGGGGGATGTGAACCCAGATGCCACGGAGATTCTGCACGTCAAAAGGAGGAAGGCTCTGCTGTTGTGAGCAAGCAGTGTCCACCCAGGATTCTCGGGAGAAAAGCTGGAGAGGAAATTTGCACACCAGAGACGTGCTTGCTTAGACGGCTTCGGCTTGGGTGAGCTGTACAAACGGCACACCAGCTCGGCCCTTGATCTGCCTTTATTAAATAACAGCTCTGTGAAAGCAGATGGAGAATGTTGTATTTTTGGTTTTCTATCTAATACCTCGAAGTGGATGACGGGTTCTGTTGTGCTCCTGGAACGTTCGGGATGAGGAATAAAGATGTTCATTGACGCTGGGCATTCTGAAATCCACATTTGCAAATGTCCAAGCTGGAGGCAGTCAATAAACACTGATTTTTCTCGAAGATACAATTGTTTGAAGGGAAGCAAACAATATCATTTCTTGGGTGACTCTGGAGGGAGCCTGATGAAATGTCAGAGATGCTGGTCCAGGATTCCTCAGGCCAGGCAGCAGCTGTCTGCTTAGAGCATGTACACTTCGCTGCATGGCCTCCTGGAGGCTCCAACGGGGTCCATTGCTGCCCATGAAGCCTCTCCTTGTCTGGGTGCTAAGGAGGATGGGCTCTAGAGTTTGGAAGACACCTTAGAAGCTAGACTCCCTTTGGATGGTGGCTTTGATCCAATTCAGGAATTTGGTAACTTGGGTGTAGACCCCTGGCTTCTTCCCACATTCCAGGCCCCAGCTCACTATCCCGTAGACGTAGTAGGTGCCATTCTTCTCACAGGTCAGAGGGCCTCCAGAGTCACCCTAAGGGAAAAGGACGTGTGAGTTCAGCTTTATGAATCAAAATATATTCAGAGGTACCCCCACCTCCTATGAGGGGACGCCAGAGGGTGACGGGGTGGGCTGCTCTGGAAAGTGGCAACAGATCTCTGCCTATGACTCATGTGATGCAAGGCTCAGAAAGGAGAGAAGCAAATACCGACCTAGGTCCCTGAGTCAGAGCTTAGCAGAGAAGCTGCAATGCCACGGTCACACCCCTCCTTCCCGACTCTGTTGTGCCTCTGGCTAACACAGGCATTACTACTGGGAGTTCTCAGGGGCCCTCGGCCTCTCATTCTTGCAGGGACCTGGAGTGGGGGTGGGGGTACCCTACTTGGATATAGTCCTTCGGGGACCCACAGAACACACACAGGGTGGGGAGGGCAGGGCTTGGAGACAGCGTGGCTTAGACATTCGATATGGTCTGTGGGGTTAGTGCTTCTGGGTTCCACATCAGTTCTACCCCTTGCGAGCCAGCTGGGCCTCAGTTTCTCACATCGTGAACCGTGAACAGCAGTAGAACTGCCTTCCTACTCCCAGGGCTCTTGCGAGGATGATGTCTGTAGAGCACATAGGGCAGTATCCGGTTCACACTAAGCCCCCAGTTAAAATGGCGAGGATGATGGCGTGAGAACAGTGAGCATGGTAACTCTCAACCACACACGGCTGCCTACGCTCTACCACTGACGGGATTTTGAACGAGCTCTCTCTTTGACCTCAGCCACGCCCTTATGAGCTTACGGACTTGTCATTTCCATTTTATAGATTAGGCCCCTGAGAGTGGAGAATTATTCAGGTGCAACAGACTGAATGTCTGTGTTTCCCCAACATTCGTACGTTGGAGCCTACCCCCCAATGTGGCGGCAATAGGAGGAAGAGCCTTTGGGAGGTGATTAGGCCACGGGGGTGGAGTCCTCCTGCGTGGAATTAGTGCCCTTATGGAAGGGACCTTAGAGGGTTACCTCTCTCCACCCCATGAGGACACAACAGGAAGATGACAGTCTGCCACCCAAAGGGGGTTCTCGCCAGAAGTGATCTCAGACTTCCAGCCTCCAGGACTCGGAGAAATCGATTCCTATTGTTTAAGCCCCCAGTCTGCAGTAATTCTTTGTAGCAGCCTGAGATGACTAAGCCAAAGGTCATAAAGTGAAGGACAGAACCAGGTTCCAAACCCACAACTACATTCCGCAGCCTGCAAGGGAAGCCCTTGGATCACTGGGGAATTGAAGAAGCTGCTCTCTTACATATCTTCCAGGGCATCTGGCAAATTGCACCCATCTGCCCATGCCCCTCCTTTGAGTAGGTGGGTACTGGTGGCCTCTCGGGAAGGGACAGAGGGTCACAGTAGAGCCATGACATGGAGGGAGTGGCCGCAATTTCTCATCCCAAAGTGGGCTCATGGCCAGCAGGTTATTGTTGGGTCCCTTTGCAGGGAGAAGTTAGAATTTGAATGTGGCTGTGCTGGGGTTCCCAGTTTATGAGGACAATAAGCAAGAAATTCTAAATCGAAGTGTTTCTTGGAATCTGAGGAGGACATTTCTTGTGTAATGTGACCTCTACAGGGAGAGAGACTATGGGGAGTGGGTTTTGACTTGGGGCAAGGGCTTGAGGTCACTTCAGCACTCCCTCTCCAGCAGCCTCTGAGTCATCACAGACCTCAGCAGCTTGAGGTTCCCTAAAGTCTAAGACTGTGGACAATGTCATGCTGGCCCTATGTTGACTGTGGCCACAGAGGACTCACTCAGAGAGACTTAGATTGCTAGGGCTAAATCAACCTCTCTCTCTCTTTCTCTCTCTTACACACACACACACACACACACACACGTACATTTCAGGCAGGGAGATGAGCCTCCAGCCCCAACAGTGGAGGCTGCAGCCTCCTGACAGTATCTGTTGAAAAGAAAACAGTGTGTATCTATGGTTTTATCTCCGCTCC